CAGCTCTCTGGCATTCCTTTCTCAGTTTGCATCTAAAAGACTACAATATGTCAAGCTTATCTCCACCTGAATTTGCTGCCTGCTATAAAAACATTTCATTAATATATCTCATTCTTCCTACCTCCATCTCTGGTTTGTCATTAGTGGTATTCTGAAAAGCTTAAGAAAAAAGAATCATTGAGTAGAAAGTGAACATTTTAAGTTATTTTCCTTTTTCACTGGCAATTAGTTAACATGTAAAATCTTTTCCATTAAACTCTATAACTTTTAATAACTATATATTATATATGGGATAAAATATATGGACTGAATTGTGAGAATATAAATGCATCGAGAGACTCTGGTGTCATGAAAGCACAAGAATAAGGCTGGAGATGGTCCCAGATCCAAGATGTCCCAAAAGCCTTTTGTATCAGTTTCTCTATTTTTGGTATTTTGCATAATGCATGGATCCTTAGTTCAAATGAGGGACGCAGTTTCTCAGCCCCACTTCTTTCTTTCCAACTCCTACCTTTCCCTTGCAGAGGTAGTAGAGATTCTGAATTATCTATTATGAATTCTATTATTTTGTCCATGGCATCTCTAATGAAAACAGGTTCTAGAATAAAGGAGTTGATTAGTCTGAACAGTACTAATTAACTACAAAAAAAGTTAGTGATCAGCCTCTTCCTCTATAAACGATGACCAATTAGATGTTTCCATAATTCCATGTATTATGTATAGTACACTCTATAAATGTAAATGTAATGCTTGTCTAAAAAGTGCAATTTATTGTACATTGTCCCAACAAATGTTTACTTTTATAATTGTTATGAACTTGAATTGGATTAGTATTTTGTTTTTATGTGTGAATGAAGCCTTGTGAAATAAACAAATGCAACTGAGAAGGTAACAAGGTGACTGTTTTTGTGAGCCAGTGATGTTTTCAATGCTTTGTGTTGCCCCTTTGGCCCCATTAAGCAGTAATAAACATTTGTTCTAAAGTCCATGTATGTCTTTTTAATTTTTTTTAGTTGACTTTATTCTGACTCATTTGAACCCAATGTTTATGTAACACTTCTTACACCTGACACTAGACTCCAGTCAACTTAGAAAACAGTATATACCCTGCAAAAATGATATCCTGTACAGCACCACCACAAAGTGCCTTATTTTCCTCTCTACTGAGGTTCCTTGATTCCAAGTAACAGAAACCTTTGCAAGCTAGCTTAATAATAGTAATTTTAAGAGGCAATTAACCAAAAGGAAATAGGGTATCTGTATCATAGGTCCCAAAGGCCAAACACTTGGGCCTGAACTGGCACTAGGACAAGGGGCTGGAATGCCATCAGGACCCTGAAAGCAATTGTTCCCATAATTGTGCTTCTGCTTGTCCTTCCAGATGACACTTACCTGCTTCATTCTTCTCTCTGAAAACAGGCTTTCTCTGCTTCTAAGTCCACAGCTACCAAGTTTACATATCCTCTCTTCAAACTACCAGCAGAAGACTGCCATCTCAATTGTTCCAATCACAAGTTCTGGGAAAAAAATATGATTGGCTAATCCTGGGTCAGGTAGCTGCTGTTAAGTCCTTTAAGGTACAGCAAGGTAGGAGATATATAATTCAAACTAAACTTCAGAGGCACTTATGAAAGTGGAAATCGTGTGCAGAGAATCCCAATCATATCTCATTTGCATTTGCATTTTGTTCTGGGAATCCACGGAACCCAAGTGAAATACCAAGAGATTGGTCAGCTCCTCTTGGAATTCGGCATGTATTAAAAAATAATAAAAGACTGTAAGATTACAGATTTTGGTCCACATTCAGACCACAGACATCTTTCGTTTGGCCATGTGGTGTTTTCTGTTTGTTTTCTGAGACGGTCTTGCTCTGTCACCCAGGCTGGAATGCAGTGGCGTGATCTCAGCTCACTGCAATCTCCACCTCCCAGGCGCAAGTGCCTCCCACTTCAGCCTCCCAAGTAGCTGGGACTACAGGCAAGCACCACCACGCCTGGCTAATATTTCTATTTTTTACAGAGACAAGGTTTTGCCATGTGGCCAGGCTGGTCTCAAACTCCTGAGCTCAAGCAATCCACTTGCCTCAGCCTCCCAAAGTGCTGGGATTACAGGCATCAGCCACTATGTCTGGCCCCCTCTGGTATTTTAAACAATGTGAAATTTTACATAAAAAGTAAAACAAAATTACTCAGAAGTGCTCACTTCAACAGCATATACACTAAAACTGTAATCTACAGAGAAGATTGGCATGTCCCCTGCACAAGAATGACACACAAGTTAATTAAGCATTCCATATTTTGCACAGTCCCCAGAAGGTCATTTCTTTATCTGCTGACAAGCCCCAAGAGAATAGTATGAGTCATAGCAAAAAAAATTCAAAATTCAAAATATCCATTGAATTTGGCAGTTAGGAAATCATGAGTAAGCTTGACAGGTACAATAACTGGGGGAAGCACAAAGGCTGCCTGCAATCGGACAACTGAATGAGAAATAATTTCATTTTGAAAAGAAAATTATTCCAAACTTTGGAAACAAGGCAAAAAGGTGAGTGGCATGTCCTTTCAGTGTCAAACCAAGGACTAGGGGATTGCACTTTGTTTATTTCATTGTTTACTATTGATTTAAAAGTCCTATACTGAATCTATACAGTAACTTCTAGATTTTTGTCCAATAAGAATGCAAACCCCTACTTCCTTTCCAGTGGAACAGATAACACCAAAAGTTAGAGTTTATTACCCTGTGACACATTAACAGGTTTGTATCTAACCTTCCCACCTTATACTAACATTACATTGTTAAATTGCCTATAAATACCTGGCTACTCAAATACACTCTCATTAACCAATGAGTTGAATTAAGTATTTGTCACATGTCCATTTATATTTGCATAATATTGTCTGGAAAAGCCTCCCTTAGTGTTACTTCTGAAAGACCTAAACGGAGTGAAGAAACGATCTGTGTGATGAATTGGAGGAAGAGGATTACAAGTGGAGAGAAAGCTGGGTACAGACTTGGAGGCAAGAGCAAACCCAGTGGGTTCAATGAATAAGAAAAATGCCAGACTGTTTAAATCAGGGAGTGGGGAAGGAAGAGTGGTGAGAGATGGGTTCTGATGTGAAGCTCATAAAGGTGAGATAAGATACGTAAAACACTCAAGTTCACAGTAAGGAGTTTGTACTTTATTCTAAGCCTAATAGGAAGCTGTCAGAGGTTTTTAAGCAAAGGGATATAATGATCTGAAAAGATATCGCAGGCTGCTCTGTGGAAAACTAACCCTAAAGGCACAACGGGGAAGCAGAGAAACCAGTTAGGAAGCTAAAATTTCAGACAAAATAATGATGGCTTGCACCTGGGTGTGTAGGGTAAGAATTATCTTTTCCTTCTACCCATTTTAGGCTCATTGGCTTGGGATGCTGTAACAAAAGACAAATTAACAAGAGAAAAGCATAAATATTGTTAGTTTTACATAACATGCAAACTTCATAAAGAAATAAAGACCCAAATAGTTAACCTTAGTGTTCTTTAGAGTAGGTTTGAAGAAGAATGAAGAATTGTGGGAAAATGTGATGGGGCTAAAAGACTGTGATCTAAGGGTAATAAACTGGGGGAAACTTAGCAAGGCCTGATGTTCATATTCATCTCTACGTTCCTGTGTTTTCAGAGATAAAGATGTTACTTTTATTCCAGGTATAGACAGGGCAACTCTCACATGAGGGTATTACGTCCTGCTTCAGGGCAGAAAGGTGCAAGAAAGTTAGACACATTCCTGCATATGTTCTTTCTCAAATTCCTTCAGTTTAAAGTATTCAGTATGTCTAGGTGCCATATTCTTGGGTAGCATGCCCCAAACCCCGTCAGGTGGTAGAAGCAGAGGTTGTGAGAAGTCGTTTAATTCGCTACATATTTTGAGATTAAGCCAGTAAGGCTTGCTGTATGATAAGATGTAAGGCCTGAGATAGAAGACTCACCTGTGACTCCTTAGCCTGAGCAATTAAGAGAATGAGGTGACTGTTCACTGCATTAGGTCAAGCTTTCACTCGGTGCAGTGCGATATTTGTTTTTATTTAATTATGTACTTAACAATTCCAGGCTATTGGTTGGCCACTTAAAAAAAATACGATAAAATACACAGCTCTTAGGAGTTCATCCCATGAACTTCGACAATTGTATGTATGGGTGTAATATTTCTATTACCTTGGCAAATTCCCCCCCACCCCCGCAGGGCCTTAAATATAACCTATAGAAGAAACTACGTACATAAAAATACGTTTACAACTTAATTTCTAAAGTGAACCCACCTATCTATAAATCAGTGTCTAAATCAAGTAACATTACCGGAACCTCAAAAGCCCCCTGGTGGCTCTTCCACGTCATTGTCCTTCCCACTACGCTCATTAACACCATGGGCTAGTTTTTAGACTTCATTTAAATTGAACCACACAATATGAACTCTTCTGTGTCTGGCTTCTTTCCCTTAATGTCATTTTTTGTGTGAAATTCACGCATGTTACGCTTCGGTAATTTATTTTTGTACTGTACTTCCGATTCTTTATTACAGATAACAGTCAGCCTCCATTTCGCTAAGAGCTTTTTTTCCTCTCTGAGTTGCTGATTCTAATCGCTGCCTTGGGCGATCTATAAAGCTGAGTGCTCGCTATGTGACCTCTCAGGGGTCGCCGTCTTGGACGATCAAAAAAGCTGAGCGCGGACTATGTGATCTCTGAGGGGTTGTTTCCAACCGTGTCGTTGACATCTTGAGCCTGCCAAGGACTAGAATAACCTGAAAACTAGGCTTCTCTGGGGTCTCGCTGAGAGGCAGCGTTAGAATCAGAAGAGAACATCGTCTCCAGAAGACATTCCACCATTTTCTTTGATGGTAAACAGGCTTACTTATACCGAATCCAAACCCAGGCGAGAACTACGGACTCTTGAATTCAAATGGTCGGTGAAAGAGGCGAAAGCACCAGGAAATTATGCTTCAACAGTCCACGACAAAAGGAGGGTCTGAAACTGTGGCCAAACGCCGACCCTTTCGTTACGGCCTTGACCTGGGCTTCCGCCACGGGGCCGGGTCATGTGGCCAACGCAGCTCCACCTCGTACCGCGGCCAATGATGACGACACCAGGTCGGAGCGGACAGACCGCGGTGACGTCTCCACTGCGGCAAACTCACTGAAAATCAAACCGCTACCATTAGGAGGCCTCCACGCTTAACATATCCATTCTTTCTCGTTTGAACATAACCAGGCTGCTCCTTCTCCCCATTTTTTGCCTTCTCGCGGAGGCTCAGAGACTAGCCTTACACAACATGGCTGCCTGGTGTGTCTGGTGTCCTAGAACGGACGGAAGACTCTACTCAACTTCCGACTTGGACTCCGAAAATCGGTACGTTATTTCCGGGGCTGGGTTAAGGCAGCGGTTCCGAGCTGCGACTGCGCAGCCTGGCCTAGCGCGGTCAAATTACAATACATAAAGTTGTCGGGGCGGAGAGGAAGGCGTTACTCTTCTCGGACTGCCGGTTCGCTCGCGAGACTTGAGCGTTGCTAGGAGATTCGGCAGGCGGGCGGAGCCAGACTCGGCGGGGCGGGGAGGGGCGGGGCCACACTCTGCGAGGCGGGGAGGGGTGGGGCCAGGCTTGGCGGGTGGAGCGTGCTCGCGGTGGGCGGTGGCGGCGGCGGCCTCGCGAAGGTTCCAGATCCGTCGCGTGCGGGAGGCGGGCCGCGATCTCGCGCAGGGTCGGTGTGCTCGCGGGCTGCGGCGCCGCGACTCGTGCGAGTGGGCGTCTGCGCTCGGTTTGAGGGCTCCGCGCGGCGTTTCCTGTTCTCTCCTCTGCGCGGCTGCAGCTCGGGCCTTCGGCCTGATCCAGCCCCCATGGCCTCAGAAGAGGTAAGTGGTTGGGCCCCATCTTCTTCATGCTCCCCGGCTGGAGCTGCAGCGCCAGCCTCCCGCCCCACCGCCGTTTCCGTGGACTGAGCCGCCCTGCGGCCACCCGGTGCCGCGGCAGTCGGCGCGCCGCCTTCCCTGGGGGACGCCTCATTCGCCCTTTCCTGCGCCGTCGGCTCCCCGCGCTTCCCCTCGGCCTCGCACCCCACCCGCCTGCCGGGCCGGAGCAGGGCTGTGCGGCGATTGTCCGTGCAGGCGATGCGGGGAGTGGGTCTGAGAGAGCTGCCCCCTGCGCGTGTTCCTCAGGCCCTTTCTGCGCTGGTTTCCCAGCCAGAGGACAGGAAGCTTCATTCAAGCAAAGCTGGGTGCAAACATGAGTGTCGTTTATGGTAGAGGGCGGATTGGAGGGTGAGAAGTTTTCGGTGCTAGCACTTGAATTCTCTTAGTCATGTTTTCTCTACACACGAGGAGCTGTGTTACTCTGGGCAAGTTGTTTAGCTTTTCAGTGTCGCAGTAGCATCCGTTTCATAGAGTTGTTAAAAAGTATGATTTCTAGGTGTTTAAACCAGTGATTGGCAAACAGCAATCTGCTGTATGTGATTTTTAAAATAAATAACTTGGAAAATTAGTTGTAATTAATAGTAAGAAACCCAATGGCCTGTGTTAAAGCTCCGTAAACTCTGAACGTTGGAGAATTAAATTTTAGGGAGACTTGGTTTGCTCAGTTAGAAAATGGGAATGATAGTACTTGTATTGCTCATTTCCTGGCCTAAGGGGGAGGTGAAGACGGAACAGTTATTCACAGTTAAGTGTTGTGTGTGTAGTAACTAGATTTGCTTTATGAAAACAAGTACTGGGAAATCCCAAGCCCTTTTTTTTTTTTTTTTTTAAAAACTCAAAATCTTTTCTTTAAATGAAGAAAAACTGAGATTTGTGTGTTCTAGTATTAATCTAGGTATCTTGTGACAAGTCTTTTAAGGTAGGTCTTGGGTACTATGTGCCCCTAGGAGAGAACTTCACAGTCATGCAGGTGGATAGCTCAGTATTAGTCCTCTTGAGAGTAGAGAACGTTCTCAGTTTAGGTACTTAGAAGTAGACATTTAAGGGCACTTCATTTTTGTTTTGTTTGAGATAAAATTCAAGTTTTTAACCATTTTAAAGTGTATAATTCAGGTATTTTGTTTTTTTTTTTTAAGTATATTCAGTGTAGTGCAGCCATCACCACTGTCTAGTTTCAGAACATTTTCATCACTCCAAAAAGAAACCATTTAGTGTCTTTTAAACAATTGCTTCCTATTCCCCCTCAGCCCCTGACAACTACTCATCTTATACTTTCTGTGAATTTGCGGATTCTAGGCATTTCATATAAATGGAGTCACGCTGTATGTGGCCTTTTGTTTTTTGGCTTCTTCAACTTAGCACTAACATTTTCAGGTTCATCCATGGTGTACAGTGTATTAGTACACATGCTCTTTATGGCTAAATAATATTCTATTATATGCGTATGGCACATTGTGTTTATCCTTTCATCCGTTTATGGACATTTATTTCCACTTCTTTTTTTGAGATGGAGTCTCGCTCTGTCGCCCAGGCTGAAGTGCAGTGGCGCAGTCTGGGCTCACTGCAATCTTCGTCTCCCGGGTTCAAAGGATTCTCCTGCCTCAGCCTCCTGAGTAGCTGGGATTACAGGCGCGCGCCACCATGCCCTGCTAATTTTTGTATTTTTAGTAGCGACCGGGTTTCACCACGTTGGCCAGGCTCGTCCCGAACTCCTGATCTCAGGTGATCTGCCCGCCCGCCTCGGCCTCTGAAAGTGCTGGAATTACAGGTGTGAGCCATGGCGCCCTGGCTTATTTCCACTTCCTGACTAGCATAAAAATAATGCTGCTGCGAGTGCTGTGTACAAGTTTTTTGTGTGGATGTGTTTTCAGTTCTCTGGGGTATATACCTAGGAGTGGAATTACTGGTTCAAATGGTAACTTGTTGAGAAACTGTTAGACTATTTCCAGAGTGGTTGCATCATATTTCCACAAGAAGTGTTTGAAGCTTCTAGTTTCTCCACATCCTTATCAACATTTGTTATTTTCTGGGGTGTTCTATTTTTGTTTTTTGGTTTATAACACCATCTTGCTGGGTGTGAAGTGGTATCTTGGGAATTTGATATGCGTTTACCCAATGATGAAGATGTTGAGCATCTTTAATGTTCTTGGTGTCCATTTCTGTATCTTTGGAGAAATGTGTGTTGAATTCCTTTGCCCATTTTTGAGGCATATTGGTGTTAATGCCTCCTAGTGAAAAATTAGGAAATAGGAAGATAGAGCTTGAATGCGTTACAGGTAGGGATAAAAGGGAAATAAAATTTTTATATACGTAAAACAAATACATGCCAAGAAGGCAAGGAAAATTACATGATAAATTAGATAAGAAACTATCTAGGACATCTTAAAGTATTTGTGCAGAAAAAGCAGATCTTTTTTTGGTTTCAAGTCTGCCAACAACAGAACTGAGGAACTGTCTCAGTTTTAAGTTTTTTCAGTGGATACTTTATAATAAAAAGAGTAATTTAGAGCCAAAACTGGCAATAAAGAGGGCTTGGGAATTCAGCCATTGGGGGAATCCCTTGCCTAATTTGAATTACTTTTCTGATTCTGCTAAAGCATTCCTATTTCAGTCAAAAAGCAAAACCTCGTACTTAGACTTATTATATTTCATTTTACATTTCAATATTTTATGAATTAGGAGTTGTAGAATCAGCGGGTTTTTTTGTGAAACCATTAAAATGTATTATTTTGAACTGAAACATCTTGGTTCTATGCTCAAAAGACGAGTTTGCAAGAGTTTTTGTCATAGTAATATGAGCTGTTCTTGGAAGGGGAGAGTGTGGACAAGAGGGTTGGGCAGAGTTGAACTTTTTTTTTTTTTGATACTGAGTTTTGCTCTTGTTGCCCAGGCTGGAGTGCAATGGCGCGATCTCGGGTCACCGCAACCTCTGCCTCCCGGGTTCAAGCAATTCTCCTGCCTCAGCTTCCTGAGTAGCTGGGATTACAGGCACATGCCACCATGGCCGCCTAATTTTTGAATTTTAAGTAGAGACGGGCTTTCGCCATGTTGGTCAGGTTGGTCTCGAACCCCTAACTTCAAGTGATCTGCCCGTTTGGCCTCCCAAAGTGCGGGGACTACAGGTGTGAGCCACTGCACCTGGCGAGAGTTGAACTTTTTATACCATGTCATCTGTTGTAGATAGGCAAAACTAGGGCATCTGAGTTAAATGAGATAATAAAAGACTAGTAGTAAAAGAAAAGAATTAGTTCTGTTACTGCATTTTATAAGACTATTAAGAAACAAAGGCTTTCAAACGCTGTTGTGCGTCTGATATTCTGAGTTATAAAGCACTAAAAGACTTTTAAATTGAGCTTTTGATATAATCAAGCTGTGACACAAGATTTTTTTGGTCAAGTTGCTAGTATCAAGCTAGAGTGTAAAGTTACTGTAAGAAGTGAAACAGCTGTTTGGAAAGATCTTGTGTATTTGCAGTATGTCAGAGGGTAATTGGGGGAAAAAGACTTAGGCTCAATAATTTTCTAACATTGTCTTTAACTCTTGAATTTCATAAAATGTTGCCTCTATCTCTTGAAAGTAAAAACAAGTAGACTTTAATAGATGATGGATTGGCATGAGAAGAAAATGAGAACGTGGTGGCTTTTTCAAAAGATAATTTCCAAGAGTATGTTGCATTTTGGGTCTTTTGTCACCTTCTATGCAACCAACTCCTACACTTCTAACTGTAAGACTGACCCAGCTTCAGAGCAAGACTTTTTCTCAAAAGCAGAATTTTTTTTTTTTTTTTTTTAATATTTTGTCTTAAAAATTCGGACTCTCTTTATTTGAGGTATTTGAGGTGGGAAGATCAGTGAAGACCAATCAGTGACAGAAAATGGAGCATTCATTACCTCAATAAAGTTTGCTGTGTAGCATTTTACCATGGTCACTGTGTGTTCTCTCATCTCTTAAATTTTTAAAAGTGTCTAACATCTAATGACACTCGGATTAGATGTGAAAGGAAATCTCTGAATCCCTTGTCAAAAAAAAGTCTTTGTTTTACTGTTTAAATCGCAGATGTTTCTTGTAAATATTTTAAAGCAAATATAAACTGGAAAATTTGGGTTTGATTACCTATTTATTGTTTGTTCAAGATTGTTCAAAGTTTTCCTTTTGGGAAAAAAAGGAAGCTTGAGTTAATTACAGTTAATAAGCCGGAGGGAAGAACTGAAGTTGCAACTCAATCCTAGAAAATTTAGATGAACCTCTTAATTTTTAGTGCTTATTTCAGTAAGTTGAAATGAGTGATAAGCACAATATCAAGCTATTTCCTTATTGATCATAGCTAACTTATTTTTTGTCTTAACACAGCTACAGAAAGATCTAGAAGAGGTAAAGGTGTTGCTGGAAAAGGCTACTAGGAAAAGAGTACGTGATGCCCTTACAGCTGAAAAGTCCAAGATTGAGACAGAAATCAAGAACAAGATGCAACAGAAATCACAGAAGAAAGCAGAACTTCTTGATAATGAAAAACCAGCTGCTGTGGTTGCTCCCATTACAACGGGCTATACAGTGAAAATCAGTAATTATGGTATGACTTGCTTCCCTGTGGCCGGTTTTGCCTCCGAGCAACCTATTCCTCATATCTAACAAATTCATCTTTAAATGACTTTTGAGGCTGTGTTTTCGGTGGCTTGGAGGAAGACTCATCAGTTTTTATTTAATAAAACTTTCTTTAGATAGAAATAGGAAAGGATACATTCTAGAAGCTGTTAACAAGAATAAGGTGATTTACTACAAAGATGAGGAGTAGCAACAAGGAAGGAACTTATTCTGAAATTATTCAGTATATATGAGGCACCACTTTGGTGGTGGTAGTGGTTTTTAATCATGTTTTATGTTTCACTCTGACAACCACTACAATTAACTGAGGAGAGGAATCCAGTTAAATTCAGGAAATATTTTTGAGCACCTAATGTATATCACTATTGTGCTTGGACACAACAGTGACTAAGACCCAATCCTTTCTCATGGTGTGGTTGGGACATAGACGTATAACTCATAGCATAGCAATGTATTAGCAAAACAGTATTAGCAAAAACTAATACTGTTTTCCTTCAATGGTGTATATAGTGTGTTTGTTTTGGCGGCAGTGCAACTTCAGTGAGAGTGATGAGCTCTCATTGGAGCAAGGACAGTCTGGTTTTTCTTTGTGCTAATAATGTCTAGCACATAATAGGTAACATAGCTGAGGAAATAATTCTGGAGGTGAGGAACAGGGAGAATCAGATGAGTGTGAAGGGTGAGCTGTATGTTCAGCAAAAGGAAGGGAACAGCATGAGCAGAGGACATGAATAGAGACTTGGAAGGCATGATCTATTTTGAGTATTGTTATAGTGAAAAGCATGTGTATGTCGTGCTTAAGTGATGTACTATATAGTACTACATGAAATTGCACCGTGTACTCAGTTGAGTATGGGAAACTGGTCTGAAGGTGTTTAGGATTATGGCATTTTAACCAGGAACATAGATTTGTGTTGAGGGAGAAACTTGTCAAACCGGAGGATGGACTGACTGGGAAGAAACTATTAATAAATGAAGTTCTCTGGAACCCTCTAGGGCATTTTTTTGATCAACACTATGTTTCTTTTTAATTTTCGTGGGTACATAGTAGGTGTATGTATTTATGGGGTACATGAGATGTTTTGATACAGGCATGCAGTGTGAAAACACGTCATAGAGGATGGGGCATGTTTCTATTCCGTGGGACTAAGTGAGGAAGAGTCAGGGATATGTATGTATATATTCTTGATAAACAGAAGATGCTTTTTGTGAAGTTTTTTTATTTTCTACAAATACGATGGTATTTTGTGAAGCGTATATGTCTTGTATGTTGACAGAGTTCTTCTAGGTTAGAGACTTGCTGGTAGGTTGATAATACATACTGAAATGGCATTTAATAGATACCAGTAGGTTTGTCAGATTTGGATGAAGAATTGGAGTCGTTTACATTCTGCTTTGCCCTGGAAAGGAATTAAGAGCGCTAGGATTCCATTTGTTATACTACTTAGAGAAGTAGAAATGGTTATGGAATTAAGACAGTATTGATACTTAGCCATCCAGCTTAGTGGAGAACTACCGATATTTAGATGTAGGACAAAATTGTTTCCATAAAAGCAGTAAATGAACTAATCTTAAAGAATGTATTTAGTGATCGTATTTTTATTCTGAAGGATAAAAAGAGCATAGGCTTTGTATTCAGAAACCTGGATTTGAATCTGAATTCTATCACTTGTTAGATGCCTAACTTTGGGTAGAGTACTTAACTGCTTTGAGGCTCCATTTCTCAACCTAGAAAATTTCTTGGGTTTCAAATTTTTGTATGACTGGATTTTCATAATTTTACTTTCCTGAGTTATGAGCCATGTGCATTTGCTGTTCTAGAGATAGTTTCAGAGACTTACTTATGTCCCATCTTTTGTTGTCGTTGCCAGGATGGGATCAGTCAGATAAGTTTGTGAAAATCTACATTACCTTGAGTGGAGTGCATCAGGTTCCCACTGAGAATGTGCAGGTGCATTTCACAGAGAGGTGAGTTCTCATTATATTGGGAAAGACGGTGATCATTAACAGTCAACATTGCCTTATCTTGAGACTCTTTTCTTTGCAGTTTTTAAAATTGTTCTTAAATTTAGAATTAATTATCCTTTACAACTACTTTCAAGAGGTGAGCATTAACTGGCCAAATGCACACCCTGAAATAAAGCCAGCAGCTTTTTTTCCACTCTTACGGAGTAAGAGTACCTTTCATAGAACTAGAAAGATGATGTATTCACCATTGTGTTGCAGGTCATTCGATCTTTTGGTAAAGAATCTAAATGGGAAGAGTTACTCCATGATTGTCAACAATCTCTTGAAACCCATCTCTGTGGAAGGCAGTTCGAAAAAAGTGAGTGCTTTTTTTGGTCGTAATATTCTGAAACTTTACCAGATTGAACCTAGCTGATTTAGAATTGAGATGAACTGGAATGAATTTGTCCTGTAACAGGGACCACTGCCTGTTTTGTGAATGTTTTATTGGGACGTAGCCAGGCTTATTTGTTTGTGTGTTGTTTGTGGCTGCTTTTGTGCTACAATGGCAGAGTTAAGTGGCTGCAGCAGACCACATGGCCCTAAGTGAAACCTAAATATTTACTGTGTGGTCCTTGACAGAGAACATTTGCCAACTCCTTTTGTAGAAGAATAGGCTGTTGTAAGAATATTCCATTAAAATCAGGAAGGAAGTAAACGTTTGAAGGTAGTTAAGAGTGAGACTTGAGTTTTATGCCAGGTTTACCGCTTATTGTTTGTGACCTTTGGCAGCTTAATCACTCTGTGCCTCAGTTTCTGCATTTATGCAATAGTAATAATTTATTTCACAAAGTTGAAATGATACACTGAAGTGCAATACCGTATGTAAAGTGCTTAAATTAATGGTAGTGTTGGCATTGTGCATAATACTCGTATACATAAAAGGAGGTCTTAAGCACTTAGCCTCCTTGGAGTTAGAAACAGCTATAAAAATAAGGAAACTGTCTTTTAAAAACTACTCTTTATAATTTTTACTAAATCAGATAGTCCCTCTTTTCTGCCTAATTTGAATAAATGAAGTTTAATGCATTAGGTATATACATATGCCATTCTGCCATCTGTTTTTATAATACATAATTACTTAACAGCTTACAGGTGATACTCAAATATAGTTGGATTTGCTGTCTTCCTGCACCCTTCTGCATCCACTAGTCCCGTACGTAGAGTACCAAAAGATCCCTAGAAGTCGTATTGATCATTGTTTAAAGACCTGTACATTCATTGCCCTTCTTTCACACTTTCCAAATGCCTCACCTTGCTCCATACTGCCTTATGTGACTTGGTTTCTTGCCTATCCTCGACCCCTCTTATTATATTACTATCTCTCTCAGTCACTAAAATCCAGCCACTCCTCCTGCTCCTCAAACACACCAAGATCATCCCATCTTGGAGCCATTCTACATGGCTCTGCCAGCTGCCTTCTCCTGACCTTAAGCTTCAGCTCAGATTTTGCCTCAGGGAGGCCTTCCTAATGAAGTTCCTGCTCCCACCCCCATTAACACCTGCTTTGTCTTGCCAGCACTTTCTAGGGTATGACGGTATTCAAGTTTTACTTATTTACGGTCTTTTCACGCCATGAATGTTCAGATTTTGGTCTATTCATACAAGTATTACTAGCACCCCAAATAAGTCTATACATACTAGGGACTTGATTAATTAAATAATTGTTTTGTCTTCTAAGCTGTATTTGTTTTCCCGCTTTTCTTCCAGGTCAAGACTGATACAGTTCTTATATTGTGTAGAAAGAAAGTG